GTCACAATTACAATTTTAATTATTCAAAGTAATAAATTAAAATATATACATATCTACAAAATAAATTAAAAATCATATACTTAATATTATGTCATAATTTTACATTGGAATTCAGATATTCAGTCACATTGTAAAAAGGATGTTGTTCGATATATGATTTATTTTATTTTGTTCTTAAATTCTATTGATGTTGGAATTGACATCAGTAGAATTTAAGATCACAATTGTCATGAAATCAAATGGGATTCGATACTTGGTGACCTTTATTTAACAACCAGAAAATCACAAAATTGTTGAAGAACTAGTATTGCTAACCGGCATTCCTCGTCGCGCATAGCACCGTAGATGCAGAGTATTTCACCATGTTTCCGGAAGATACTTGATGATCTAAAAAAACCTTTATAGTTCTATAAACTTATCTCATAGCTACGATATGAATATTGATACTTTGGGATACTCATGTAATTACATAAGTATTAAAAAGTGATTTGAATATTACTTAAATTAGAAAGTATCGATACCTGGTAGATATGGGAACATCCCTACTTGCTACCCGAGACTGTTCTACGATTTGTGGATCATGTGATTTAGAGTTGCTTATTATCGAGGCTTTATTTTTTCATTTTTGTGAACAAATAATCCTCGCCATATATGTACGTGTATGAATTTGAATAGCTACTTACTAAGTAATAATCTGTCCAGTTTCTTACTCATTTTTCGTGTAAGTACTTGTTCAAAGTTTAAGTTTATTTGCATGGAGATTGTTTAATTTAATGACTTTAGTTATTTTCTAGCGAATGTTTTGGCTAAGTCTGATGTTTTGTTTATTTAGGTATTTGTTTTAGCAATTGGTTTAATCTCGTTTTGGTTCTTAATTGGATTTTATCAAGATCGTATTGATTATTTTAGGCCAAGGCGGAATGAGATGGCCCTCGTTTTACTTTTGCTACGATTGTAGTACATTCTATATTAATTGTAGTTGTCATGATTTATGGTTTAAGTCAAAAAAATGGGTCACATTTTTAATAAATTTTGTACATGACTGAATATGTCTTTCCAGTATATATATAGTACATTAAAAGTACTTAATTAAAGTCACATCATACATGACTAGATTTATAAATGATTAAATATTATTTTCATGATTAAATAATACGAAATTGCCATTACCTCAATTTATTTTATTAATTTCCGTTACGGGGAAACAAATACTAATTTACTAAAATGAGAAAAGAAAGGGCGGGGTTTCCCGCACCATTACATCCCATTCGAGATATTCTTTCATTACCTAATGAGGTTATTTATAGTTGCGATTATGTTTATTACATACGTGTCTATTTACAGAAATAGTCTTATTTTTCAACAGAACATTCGTAAGACTTAAGGTGGAGATACACCAAGATTACAAAAAGACAAACAGTACAATCAAGTGCTACAATAACATATTTCTCACTCTTGTTAGGGTAAATATATAGATAGGTGTAGCCTAAAAAGTGGAGGGATCCTTATTAATATTATAAATGTGAAAGTAGGGATGTTTGTTACGATTTCACGCAAAAACTACTGAAGATCATCATGAAATTTTGTACACATGTATTTGGAGGTACGATGGTGATTTTTATTAAAAAAAAACAAATTATTTTTATAGAAACTAAAAAATAAAGAAATAAAGTAGAAAGTAATGAGGTTATGCGACCGGAGCTGCAGATAAAAGCTAGTTACATATAAATTAGTCGACCTAACCACAACAAGGTCTAAAAAATGTTTTTCAAACTTTTTTTTTTAGACTGGCCTTAATGATTAATGTTTTCCCGAATTGAAATTTCGAAATAATATTGTTTATTTTTAAGTGTAACATAATGTATAGGACCGAATTATAATCAGAAGCAAACAAGTGTTGTTTCTTTTCAAACTCTTCCAATTTTTGTTTACTATAAAAATGCTGTAAGAATTCTTTTTTTCCTGCCCAAATGCAGCAACAAAAAAATTTATACCTTGTTTTGTTGTTGTTTTTTTTTTTGGAATAATATCTTATGAAGGTTATAAAATATAACTTTATTCATATTATACTTCTGTATATTGTTATACCCTCTAAAGTTTGTTAGCAAAGTAAAAGTTTATGTTATGTTCTTCATATAATATTTTCTAAATCTATTAATATTTAATACTTACGCAAAATCTGCCGCTTTAGAAGAAATCATATGTAAAAGGCTTATAATATTTAAAGAATATATAATTATTTATTTTTTAAAAATAACACAAGAAAATGCTTCATAGTAAATTATTTCTTGGATCGATTATCGCGTAAAATAAATATTAAAATTATTTGTATACAATTTTATTTGTTTACTATTTATGTACAAATTTACGAATTTTTCATACTTCGAATACGAATTCCATAATTTCACACACTAAGATTAATAGTCTAAGATAAACGCAATATATATACAAACACAAAAAATAAAAGGGAATAACACAATTCAGGTGTATAAATCATACAGAAAAATAAAAAGCATATTTTCTCATTTTTTCTCCCCTAACCTTTCTTCTTTCCTCTATTTACAAGTTAGTCGTGGAAAGGTAAGGAACAGACAAAGAGACACTTGTTTTTACGGTCGCAGCATTCTATTCTGTCTTCAGCAGTTTAACAACTTTACTTCCTATAGTCGTGATTTATTTTCATGAGTATAAATGTTTGAATTAGTCTGAATTTGTCTCTGTATTTTATTTATGAATCTATAATAAATATATATGTGTCAGTAGTCTAGTACTCATATCTCAAGCTCTGCTTAGCTTGGGAGTAGATTATTATTATTACTATCTACAATATTAGTGCGGATATTTTATTATTAGCGGTATTTTTGTTAATGATATGACAATCGCTCTCATATCATCCGTGAATCCGCCTCGTGTTTTACTATTTACAAATATACCTGCGTCCTCTTCCACTACTCACATTAAATAAATACTCAAATAGAATAAATAATAGACGTGGTCCAAATTGAATTGTAAAATCGCATTCGGGTTCCATTATGGGATGTGCAGCTATCGTCGATGGAGACCAAATCTTATAAAATATTCACTTTGTTTCATATAGAAGAAATAAAGACCACTTAGAATTGTCACAAAATCGGCAAGTATGGTACCGAAGTGATAGTGAGTCGTGTTGGTTGCACAACTAATAACAAAAATCGAATTTCAGTGAAAGTACTCCTTTTTTTATATAAAGTCTGATTTGACTTTATTTATTTTCATTCTACTGTCTAAATAGATGAAGCACTTCCAGCATAATATTATAATATAGATTTTGTTAGCTTTACAAAAGCCATTTATTGGTAATAATACCTTTTCCTACACTATTTAATTTTGTTATATGTATACATATACATGCATATCAAAATTAAGTTAAAAAAATGAATACTTTCACTAACATTAGATTTTTGTTATTAGTTGTGCAACCTAAAGTTATAAAGTTCGCTTATTTTAGAAAATACAGAAATTTACCAGTTCAGCGGAACCTCATCAAGATTGTCGTAACATGAACTGAACTGAGAGAGAACAGTAGGGCCACCAGTCTTGATTCTTAATCTTACTAATGTTATAAACGTGGAAGTTTATGAGTGTGGATGGTTGGATGGATGGATGTTTGTTATTCTTTCACGCAAAAAGTACGGATTGGAATTTTATTAAACTTTACAAAAATATAGCTTATTCATTAGGATAACTTATAGTCTATAAATTTCACGTTATTGAGACCGCTAGTATAGTATAAAAATGCTCTTCCCCTAGATCCAGAGAGGTACTATTGTATAAACATGCTTAGCTTCTATAAAATTGAGGTGCTGTATCGTCTGTTTGATATATGTATAATAATTATATCTGTGACTTCTTGTTATTTCCATATCACTTTAGTTTCAACTTAAGCTATTATTATAAACCTAAATCAGTTGACGTATAGAACATATTGAGATAGATTTTTATACATTCAATACTTTCATTTCAGTGGTAATAATAGCAATTTAGGTATAACTAATTCACAAGACAAGTTCAGTCGGTTCAAATTATGTCATCAATATTCATGGGCTGTCTTGCTTCGTGTGACGAATTGACTTTGACAAGTCTACTTACTAGCAAGAGACTGTACAGTTCGTACGCATGTCTTTTTGACCGACTTCATAAGATGAAGCTTCCAACTTGACTGTACACTCAAATATTTTCTTCAAAAATATTAATAAAAAAATAAATCGACTTCATTATATGAAGTTTCTAATTTACCTCTATATTCAAAGATTTATGCCAAAAAAAAACACGATTTAAAAACAAACTATGTTTTTTGAATAATAAATTTTAATATAATAATAAATAAGAACAATTAACACAGCACCATCTATCACCATAGAGGCCGTTAATATGCACTGAATCGAACCCTTTTAATTCTAGTACTTTAAATAAAATATAATAACGAAGTTTTGAGTATACGGTCAGAGTATGACTAAATTTTGTCGATTTTCAATAGGGTTTTTAAAATCAATAGGAAAGGCATAATAAATTCGCATTCGCCATCGCTGGCGGGAAACCAGATTATCCAATTTTGGTAAACTCATCAAAAGTTGTTGAACATAATGGGGAACATTACCTACTAGCGATAGATTACTAATCCATATTACTAATTATTCTCTTCCTAGGAGAAATCATCTTACATTTGTTTTATTGGGGTTCTTGGGCTATTGTTAGGTGGCTGTGGCAGTGCGACCTATATAGATCTATTGAACTCGCCCTTTTTCAAAGTTCGCTGCCTAGATCCGTGAGGGACAGACATCGAAGGATATTCATAGAAGCGATTGTTTTTATCTTCACAGGAAAGTCATCTTAAGTCACAATACTCTAAATTATCCTCATGCATATAATATACGTCATAATCCTAGAGCCTACTGTAGGACAGACTGAAATGACGACATCTGTTTGGTCAGCTTTAATTAAATCAAACTATTCCCTCAAAGTATGTGCTTCAACAGGTATAGAGGAGCTCAAAGACTCAAGAGGAAATGCAGTGCGCGGATGGCCGCATCTTGTCGTGTCGAACGCAAGTCGACCTCCAGTCGCAGAGACCGCCTTTGCTTGCTAGGCTGCCCGAGGTGCCCCCACAGCACCTATTATGATGGTGAGATATTTTCACTTCTTCTATCTCATCATTATCATTATCATAATCATCATCATTATATAGTATAAAACAAAGTCGCTGTCGCTGTCTGTCCGTCCCTATGTATGCTTAAATCTTTAAAACTACGTAACGGATTTTAAAGCGGTTTTTTTTAATAGACAGAGTAATTCAAGAAGAAGGTTTATATATATATACATGTACACCAGTGCAGGCGAGCAGCTAGTTCATTCATAATTTAAGAACTGCGCTCATGTCGACGAACTCTGGAACGCTTTCCATGATCTTCTATCAATCTTTATAGTTGTTGATATGACACCACTTCAACTTTTTCCTTAAACTGCTTGATTCTTCTATCTAGATAAGAATAAAGCAATGCCTATTCGTCAATATTGCTAAACAGATTTGAATAATTGTTAACATTAAATTATTTCATTCATTTTCTCTGCCTATTTTGTACTTTATAGTACAGGTAGATGTACAAGTTCCTGTTGAGTAAATAATTTGCAAAACGTTCATTGTATTTGTGTATACAAAACAATTGATTGTTCGAAAATATAGGAACATTGGTTTGATAAGAACTTCACTTTGACATTGACTTCAAAAAATCTTACGTAATACAATTCTTTTGTATAAAAAATCCGAAATGTCAGCTGTCGTACGCCAGTATATTAAACTCAACAGCGCAAATGGTAATGTAACGGAAATGCGGTTTTCTTTATATTTCAACAAAATAATAATATAACAAAGAAAATATTATAATCTAAATGGATACACTTTTTTATTTACATACTCATAACGTAACAACGAATTTTTACAGTGTAATCGATTGTGTTAATTCCCTTTTATTGTACAGGCTGTACATACATTTTATAATATATGATTTTTGTTTATAAAGGTATATATAATATAGTGTTATTAAGTATATATAACTGAATTGGTAAAAAAAGGAATTATTTACCAAATTCTTTAATCGTAGAAAGATACATATTTGACACAATAACATAAACTATGGTTTAGTTACAGAAATCTATT